CAAGTGATTTGTGTGACCTCTGATGTAAAGTTAACTACTGACTCTGAATACAAATTAAAACCTTGTCACAGGAAGAAAAAAAAAACAAAGTTGTAACATGTTTTTAAGGTTTGACAACAAGGAACAAATACAGTCTTACATTTGTACACATTTATTGACTAAATTTACTTTCCTCACAAATGTTATTGTGAGAGTTTAACTGAAGGTTGGAGCTTTTCATTTACAGAAAATGGAGCCCAACCGGTGATACAGTCCAACCATGCTTACATCCAACCACTTTCTGTCTGTTTTAGAGTAATAGTTGATTTAAAGGTAAAGTCCGGTCAGCAAGGAAAACTCAATGGATCAATATTTCTACCTAAAACTAATACATTTGTGGTGATTTAATAAATTTAGAATTAATCAGTAAAAAAATAAAAAATAATAATTATTGTCGTGATCACTGATTCAGGGAACGGCTATTTTTGCCCAAATATAGTACCACCTCACTCCTGACATATGATGTCATGGTGCAGTAAGCTCAAGGCCATTCTCCCCGCTTAACAAGCAAAATCAATGGGAACTACTAGACCCATCTGCAATCACCAATAAATTTAGATTTCCAGAGAAATTCACCATTGTAATTCACCAGAGCTATAGTTACACTGTAGACAATGCCCACGTGCATGGCAGTTGGATGTTGTAATACATCGAGTAAAAGTGAAAAAAAGAATTTGGTTTTTTCACCTTTCCGATTCATGATCCTCCACAGACGGGTTTGTCGTCGGATTGCCAACTCTTCTGGCCAGAAAAAAAAACACATAATATGTAGCCATCATTTCAAAGAAGAATGTTTAAGATGTCTTGGATAATAGTGCGTTGAGACACACACCAGATACACCACTGTATCTGTTAAACACCAATACCGCACCATGATGTCACAAACCGGTTGGTGGCAGAATTGTTCTTTGATGAACCTGCTTCCGGTAAAGCACATTGAAATGAAATTACTCTTAATTTAAAACACTTATATTTATTGAAAAGTTTGTAATAATTTCATATTTAAAGTGTCATGGTCTTGGTTCTGTTGTTCTTTACTTTGCTCCTTGTTTTCTAGATTTATTGGTTTAATTCCAGTTTTGTTGTAATTTCTAGATTTATGTTAGTTGTCATGTTTTTCTGTTGTCCTCTGTTGCCCTCTTGTGTGTGTGTGTTCCTTTCCCCTTGGCTCCCTCGTTGTCTTCTCTCACACCTGCTCCTTGTCAGCTCGTTAGCCCTGCCTTTGTCTCTGTCTGCTATATATGCTCTCCCTCTGCTCGCACTCTTTGTTGGTTCCTTGTCTTTGCTGTCCTCCCATGCTGTTGTCCATGTTCCTCGTCTCTCCCTGGCTCCTCGTGTTTGGTTTTCCCTTGATGTCTCCATAGTTCTGGTTTGCTTGATATTATTAGTTGGATTTTTGCATTCCTGCCTTTGTTTACCCTTTTGATTAAATCCACAAGAAATCCCCTCAGCCTCTCTGCCTCTGCGTTTGGGTCCTCAAACCGCAACTAACCCTGACATAAAGTACTTTCAGAAGTTTCAATTCTGAATATGACCGGACTTTTCCTTTAAGTGGAATGGCAAAATGGTGGATTGAATGTTAAATGATTTATGGGGTTTACTGTGATGTCCTGGGTTTCAGAGCACGGTGGATAAACTCATCAAGAAGACCAATCTGGCTCTGGTCATTGGGACGAACACCTGGAGGGAGCAGTTTGTGGAGGCCATCACTGTCAGTTCAGGTAAAAACTTTGCCTGAAAAGAAACCCAGTTTCACTGAGTTTTCCTCATGAATCAACGCTGAGGGCTTTCTCCTTCCTCAGGTGATGATGATGATGACGGTGGTGAAGAAAAAATGCCCTCCTGTTTCGATTACGTCATGCACTTCCTGACGGTCTTCTGGAAGCTTCTATTTGCCTTTGTTCCTCCGACGGACTACTGGAACGGCTGGGCATGCTTCGTCGTCTCCATTATTGTCATCGGCATGCTGACCGCCATAATCGGAGACCTGGCCTCACATTTTGGCTGCACGGTCGGCCTCAAAGACTCAGTTACTGCGGTGGTCTTTGTTGCTTTGGGGACTTCAGTACCAGGTGTGGCATAGACTAACGTTCATTACTAAAAGATTTTAAGCCAATACAAAAAAGAGAGGTTTTGAATCCCTTTGTACCGAAAAACTGGCAGAAAAAGCCAGTTTCTATTCATTTTATTCATATTGCACCAATTCACAACACGTGTCATATCAAGGCACTTTACAGAGAAGATTCAACCAAATCATAAAGTCAGATAGATTCAAAGTTTTCTAAGGAAAACCAGTTGATTGCATCGACTCATTAACTCGAAGGCATTCCCTCATACCAAGCATGTTTGTAGTGACAGTGGAGAGGAAAACTCTATTTTAACAGGAAGAAACCTCCGGCAGAACCAGGCTCAGTGTCAGCAGCCAGCTGCTGAGGCCGACTGGGGTTCAAGGAGACAGAAGCAGACATATAAAAAAAAGCAGAGAAACAAAAGGTAACTGTTAACTAGCTCCTCAGGTGGCCCAGTCCTGGAAACACACAGCCAGGGAGATGAGCTTCAAGCCAGCTCCCAGGATGAAAGTGTATGTATACAGTTATTAGTCACAGTAAGAGAAACAGGACTACATTGAAAACAGGCCAAGCTCCAACATCTATAAACAAAGGTGTTGATGGCAGCCGCACAGCTGATATTTCTCTTAGGGATGTTGTCACAGCCAAACAGAAACAGACCGGATGAGTTACTATGAGAAAAAGCAGACAGGGGACAGTTGGAGATTGAACTAACAAATACAGCAGAATGGGACAATAGAATGAAGCAAGATACTGTAGAATGAGATAGAATGAGACAGAATGTTGAAAAGGGGTCCCTATGTCCTCCATGCGTC